TTAAAGTATTTAGATCTTTAACCAGGGAATGCCAACCAAAGGTAATAACAATATCTGTAAAATAAGAGTTTATCCACTTTGTCGTCCGCATCTTTATTCGGAAAACTTAAAGAACATGATATTGAACTTGGGAGACTAGAAAAGCATGAGATCTAAGAAAAATCGAAAGTCATTGCTTTAAAAGTTAACTCGGGAAGTATTAGAAAAAGATACTCTAGATGAAGATGAGAACTTCATGATTCTTGTAAAAAGGCCTGATAAGTTTTTCAATAATGATAAATCATTAAACTTTGCAAAAAGAAATAAATTTTTCAGGAAAAAAAGAAGTCTCTACATCAACATAAAACTACACTTGCTTTGAATGTGAAAAGCAATGACACATGAAGGTGGATTATCGAAAACTTGCCAAGAAAAGTTGTCATAAAGGAAGAAAGGAATCAAAGGTCAAAATGGCTTATATTGCATGGGATGATATAGAAGTAATTTAATCTTCTAATTTGGAAAGCGATGGAAGCGCTAATCTTGCATTGATGGAATCACACCATTTTGATGATGAAGAAGAAGAGTTAGTAACGAAAAACCTTCTTATGATAATGATGCACAAGGAGCCATAAATGAATTACTCAATGAATGTAAAATCATGTACAAAACGGTATCAACATAAAAAAATAAATTTCATCTCTTGAAAAAAAGATTGACACCATGCAAAAAGATTTTGAAGTTTAAAAAAACAATTATTTCAACAAAGAAAAGCAGAATTCTACATGCAATGAGTGCAATTCACTTTCTTTTCAAATTTTCTAATTAAAAAAGTTATTGAAAAATATGAAAAATGAAAAATTGGATTGGAAAAGTGGACTTGGTTATTCAAATTTTGACATACCAAATTCTAGCAAAACCATCATTGTTAAGGCAAGTAACCAATCCACTAAAGAGAAAGTGAATAAAATATAACATTTTTATCATCATCCTAAGAATATAAATGATCAAATAGACTGAGTTTTATTTAGGCCTTGATTTTCTTTGCTTCGACCAATATCTGGATTTTCTTGTGCTCGGAAAGTATTTTAATCCCCTGTAGATGGTTAATATGATCCGGGTTTTTTGGTGTTGGAACACTTTTGTATGGACCATTTGTTTGAAGGTCAGAGTTATGAGCCTCAAAATCAGTTAAATCAAGTTCAAAGTGTTGATTATTTGGGTATCAAATGGTTATTTAAGATGTTGGTCTTCGCCCACTTCATTATATGGGTAAGAAAATATTTCCCTTGACTGGATGGTTAGGTGTTGTTTGTTATTATGGTGAGTTTATAAGAGTTTCATTATTGGTTAAGGGGAAAATATTAAAAATAGGTTGTTCATATGAAGAATAGAAAATTTGAATTAGATAATAGTAGGATTATGAGATGTAGATTGAAAGGGAGATATAAATGGAATTAAAAATACCTCACATAAACTTGGTCTTGAATCCTCACCCTCTAAACATTTAGAAGGAATAAGTTGCTTTGCGAGCTTACTCATATTAAGAGTTAACCAATAATTTCCTTCTTCTTCTTCGTTATCATTAATAGTGACATGTTACTTCCTTGATTTTTTGGATGGACTAGCCTTAGAAGCTTGACATTTTGTTTTCTTTTTCTTGCTCCATTGAAGTTACGAATCCTCGACATAAGCTTTTTTTTCTTTTTGGCATCTAGAATGTTCGAGGCTACAACTTTTTACAAGATGGTGGTATGATATTTAAGAAGTATGAGTTGAGTGGAGATCAAAATTTAGCCACTCTCATCGATGGACTCAACTTCTTAATATCTTTATCTAGACTAAAACATGCATAGTTATTAGTATAATAAAGAATGAAAGTAAAAAAAATAAAAGAGAGTAGAAGTGTTGTTCGAACTTGTGTTTCTTCCGTGTCAAGAGTGGAAGATACTTTGTCTTTTTTCGCTTTCTTTTTACTTGGAGTGGAAATGGTGGAATTGATTCCTCTTTTTCGAATCTAGAAAAAGAATACAAATAAGAAAAGAGAGAGAAATCGAGACATGTTGTCAAAAGAAACACAAAGGTTCAAAAAGTAGACTTGTCTTATTTATTTGGGTTGGCTAGGTTCTTCATTAGCGTTTTTTTATAAGCAAATATTTCATTGATAAGAGTATAATATATACTCCATACAATTACACAAGAGAAAATCCAGCAAAATATGTGATGAAACACCATAAACCCAAGCAAAACTATATTTGTACATGATGAAATCTAGTGGTGGAATGCACCATTCATAAAAGCTACATGAATATGATTTTTTGAGAAGACCAAGCTAAAGTTAAGAGATTAATATGATTAATTTGAACCCTAAACACCAAGAAAAACTCAGTGTCCCTTGCATGATAAGATTCTTCTATGAAAATCACGACATTTCGCTTATTCCATAAACACCAACAAACTATCATCCACAATGATCCTTCGTAGTGTTTGCAAACCTTCCCTTTTAAAGCCTCCAAAACCAAATTGAAGTCCATTGTGCAATGTATATCCAATGGTGTAGTCAAGCCTATCCATTCCCAAACATTTTTCTAAACCAATGAAGAAACCAAGCATTTGAACATCAAGTGATTTGTTAACTCAAGCTATTAATTGAATAGTGCACACTTAGCCAAGGTAGAGTGAAGGATGATATTTCTTATAAATAACAACTCTCCAGTAGGCAGCCTGTTGTGAAGCAGTTTCTAGAAAAAAAGCTTTAACCTTTGAAGGCACCTTCATCTTCCAAATCTTCCTCTAGATGCCCCTTAGTTGGTCTTGATGATCATGTTGAGCCTCATATATTTGCAAGATGTTATAATAGGTTTTGACAGAAAAAGCATGATGTGTAACAACCACCCAAATGAGTTGATTCCTTTCCATCATATTTGGGCTAATGCCAGTCAAAATCATTTTCAAATATTGTCGTTCAGATGCAAGAATAGGAAGCATGAAAAATCCCATTTCCTCAAGTTTCCAATGTCATATACCATGTATCCAAGAACCATAATCACATATCTTAGCCAATTAATTTGTTGCGTGAGAATAAAGAATAGGGAAAGTAGCTTCTAACGACGAAGGTCCAATCCAAAGTTCTTTCTAAAATGGAATTGACTCACCATTTCAAATTCTGAATTTAATAATGTGTTTCAAACCAGCTCCATCCATCATTTTGCACTTGAGATTTTTGTCAATGGTCATGAGATCCCTCCACCATAGAGATTATAAAGATGGATGATATTTATCAATGTCTAACCACTGACTGTTAATCATACTTCCATATCTATGTGTCATAATTCCACTCCAAATAGCATCTTCCTCATTGAAAAGTCTCCAAATCCATTTGCACATCAAAGACTAATTGAAAGCTCACATCTCCTTGACACCAAGACCTGCATCAACCTTACTTCTACATATCACTTGCCATCTTATCTAGTTGATTCCCTTACCTTCTCTTGAACCATGCCACAAGAAATGTCTTTGTATTCCAATGATATTTTTCTTGACAGATTCTGGCACCTTATAAAATGATATGTGGTGTATTGGTAAATTATTGATCATTGAATTTAATAAAGTAATCATGCCTCCTAGAGAAAGGAATTTGGATTTCCATCTAGATAACTTGCTCTTCATGTTCGAGATGATATGTTTCCAAGCCTTAATTTTCCTTGGATTAACTCCCACTTTGATCCCCAAGAATTTAAAAGGGATTTTATCCATGCTACAAAATAGGAAATTGGAAGCTTCTAACACGAAATCAGGGTTCAGTCCAATTCCATAAACTTTGTTTTTTCTCATGTTAATCCTTAAGCCACACACTATTTCAAAAGCTCTTAAAATTTTCTTTGTAGCCCACAGGTTACTCAATGATCCATTTCAAATGATGATAGTATCATCAGCAAACTGTAGTAAACTGAAAGATGGTCCTCCAAGTTCATCATCCAATCTGAATTCTTTGAAGAAGTTGGTATCCACAACATTCTTCATAATTCCATCTAGGCCTTCAGCTACAATGGAAAAAAAGAAAGATGATAGTGGATTACCCTACCTCAGATCCCTAGACACCTTAAAGTCATGAGTTGGACTTCCATTGATTATAACTAACATAGTAATTTTGAAAACATAGCCCCTCATCTATCTTAACCATTTCCCTCTGAAGCCCATTCTACCAAGCATGTATCTTAAGAAATCCGAACAAACATTGTCATATGCCTGAGCAAAATCCACCTTAAAAAGCAATCATTCCTTTTTTTCTTCTCTTGGTATAATCAATGATTTTATTTGTGGTCAAGACTCTATCAAGGATTTTCCTACCTGGCATGAAACATGTTTGTGATTTGGAAATTAACCTACCAATAATTCCTTTGATTCTATTGGCTAAAATTTTAGCTATCACTTCGTATAAACTACCAATCAAATATATTGGTCTAAAGTCCTCCATCTTCTGTGGATTTTGTAACTTTGGGATGAGATCCAAAAAAGAAGCAGTGAAGGCTTTAGGTAGAGTGGTTGTGTTGTAAAATTCTTGTATGGCATCAATAATTTCCTCTTAATATATCCCAACAGTTCTTTATGAAAGTGAGGTTAAACCCATCTGGACTAGGGCTTTTGTCTCCATCACAATCCCAAAAGACACCTTTGATCTCCTCTCTAGTGAACTCTTTCTCAACATCCAAACTGTCAGCTCCAGTTAGGTTGCTAAAATGAATCCCTTCTAAAATTGGTCTTATCCACTAGGATTGGTGAACCTATGTTGGAAGTGGTCTTCAGCAGTAACTTTTATCATGGAAACCTCTTCAATTATTCCCCTTTTAGTGTTTAAAGCAATAATGTGATTATTCCTTCTTCTGCAAGTCATCATGTTATGAAAGAATCTGGAATTCAGATCACCTTCCTTTAACCATTGTTGCCTAGATTTTTGTTTTAGTAGACTTTCCTTTAAATGAAGCTTGCTCCATATAAGGTTTTATGCATCTTTCCTAGCTTCAAGCAAATTGGTGGAAGATTGAACTGTTGATGCAGTCAAGCTTGCTTAGGTCCTCAATAGCATTGTCAACCTTGAGGCCAGTGATTCCAAAAACCTCTATGTTCCACTTCTTCAGATCAGCCTTGAGTAATTTAAATTTTTCTTTCAAAGTGAATGCCCTCATGCCTGAGACCTGGAATGAAGACCATTACTCCTTCGCAAAAGTCAAGAAATATTTGTTTTCAAACCAACCATTGATTGATCTAAATGGAATGGGGCCCCAGTTTACATTGCTTCTTTTGATCCAAATAGGACAGTGATCAGAGACGTCCCTATTCCCAATTTCTTGTGCTACATGTTTCCATTTATCAATGATGCCTTCAGAAACAAGGAAATGATCAAGCCTACTCTTTAATCTCCCATTAGTACTGAACCAAGTAAATTGATTCCCAACAGTTGGAAGATCAACCACCTCTATTATGTCAATGAAAGAAGAGAAGTCCTCCATTTCCACTCTATTGTCTCCTGGATGAATATTAAGTCAATCTTGCCTTTTTCCACATGAAACCTTGACTGCTTCAACTTCCTTCCTTCTCTTAATCCCTTTTGGGGCAAGAGGCACAACTGCAAGAATTTGACATAAGTGAATAAGGTGAAAACATAAAGTGGAATTAGTGAGTTTTACAAGTCATTTTATTTCATCTTCTTGGATGGTGTCGAGGACTTGAACATGATCAAGAACAATTCTCAAGGGTTGTGGGAAATTGTGTATATTGCACTTAGTCATAACTAATTTTTGGGCTGGCTTTTTAACTCATTATTTAAAGATGACAAAGACCCACAAAATAATCAGTCTGGAATTGGCGGTCGGAATGCTAAGTTATTGTTCTTAGTTGGCTTAGTGGGAATTCACAAAGATGAAAAGATAAAGAAAAATATAAGCCAAACTCATATGTTAGCAATGGTGGAAATTTGGGGAGATGAAATTCTAAATCAAAATCATACCTATCTTTTACATAAGGGGGAAATTTCAGTTTTGAGATTTTTTAAGTAACATTGAGTTTTAAAGAAAATGTTGCATCATAGATAGTTCGACTAAGTTGACATGAGTTATACACAGTTTCAAAGTAATGTTGAAAAGCTTGAAATTCCTTGATGTGCATTCCCCTACTTTTGTTCTACCATTTAGTCCGTTGAGAGGAGAAAGCATATGTTAAACGTTGTAGAAGAATCGAATGATCTAGATAAATGTCAAAAAAAATAAGCCAACCCACATTCTTCAAATTATTGTGTGCAAAATAATAAGCTTGAAATTCAAAAGAAGTTAGACTAAGGCATGCTTTGGCATGATATTCTAAACATGCTCGATAACGTTCCTCCTATAGTGTAGTGATGTCCAAATAAATTTTGTCTTTATGAATAAAAATGGACTTTGTTTGAAATTGGATAAAGCCAAATTGTCTAGCCACCTAGTTTGTTTGATAACTAATAAGTATCAAACTAAATTTCTCTATTAAAATTCTGGTCGGTAGAATAGTGGGTGTGAGGAAGGCTGCTCAAATGTCGATAGCTTTGGAGTGGGTTTTTAGGAGAAAGAGTTGGAAATGATCTCTTAAACTAATATGGCCCATGACTTCGATTGAGTAATGATGCCATGGAAGAAACAAATGTAGCCCAATTGACATACATAAATAATTTTTTTTTAAAGGCTTCTTCGATCGAAAGGTTGATATCTTTTAGATTAAGCATAACGAGCTAGTACTTTTAACCGTTTTCCTTTGATTTGTCATGTCAAATCATATGGGATGGTGACTTTCAGAGAAGGTTCATAGGTGACATTAAGTCAAAGTTACAGGAGCCACATAAGGCCAGAGATCAAAAGCTTGTCTCCAGGATGGTTTATAGTTTTTAGTTCAACTGCAGCAATCCCTAGAGACTCATAAAGGGAATATAGGATTAGCTAGATAAGAAAAATGTTTCTCCCTTCATGGATCTAAGTTTCCAAAGTTATGAACTTATTGGATATCTATAAAGAACCATAAAAAATATGAAATGGAATAGTCAGAGGGTGAGGAAAATAATGTGTTCATAGTCAGAGATCTATTAAGTGTCCTCGTGATGGTCATCGATAAAATTACTAAAGCCTGGACGGGTGAAAGAAAAATTGGGTTTGATTTTAATTTTGAGAGTGGGGTCGAAGGTATCCCCTCTTGGTCGAAGACCAGTGATAGATGCCACGTCAAAAAGAGGGGGGTTATTATTCCACGACAGAGTTGAAAGGTGTTGGTCGAACCCTTCCTAAAGTAAACGGTTGAGATGAGTATATTAGGGTTATATTTGGGACCAGTTATGGACAACTAAATCAAGTCATATATACCTTGGTTTTTCCAGATTTTTTTTTATTTTACTATATCCAACCGATTAATACAAGTTTCATTGTTGATGGTAAGAAAAGAGATGAACATACGTACGGGTGAACTCATAAAACCAAATTTATAAATCGTGTCTTCAAATGCACGAGATTTTCAATGGAAATGACAAGGGAAAATTTTATTTAACTTATTAGGCTTTGTAGAAAATCTGGGAAGTGGACCTAGGAAGACATGAACTTTTCCGAAAATAGAAAAAGGAATTAATATATGGGAAGCCCAGATGACAGATTTTTCCTTCTTCATTGGAGGTTCAAGAACGTATCATCAATTATTGTTGAAGATAGGTTCTTGAAGATTGGAAGCAGATGAAACGAGAATCTATTTTTCGTACCAGAGGAAGACATTGTTGTTAGAATTTGAGAAGAGGATTTTTTAAGTTAAGTTTGCCAAAAAATAAAAGGGTTCTTAGGGTTCATAGAAGAAAAAGTTGGCAAAAAAGAAGAAACAAACTAATGAAGGTATATATATATATATATATATATATATATATATATATATATATATATATATATATATATATATATATATATATATATATATATATATATATATATATATATATATATATATATATATATATATATATATATATATATATATATATATATATATATATATATATATATATATATATATATATATATATATATATATATATATATATATATATATATATATATATATATATATATATATATATATATATATATATATATCTTGTGAAGTAGACCTTTTCATTTTTCCCCTTCTTAATTAAGACCATATATATATATATATATATATATATATATATATATATATATATATATATATATATATATATATATATATATACACACACATATACACACACACACACACACACACACACACACACACACATATATATATATATATATATATATATATATATATATATATATATATATATATATATATATATATATATATATATATATATATATATATATATATATATATATATATATATATATATATATATATATATATATATATATATATATATATATATATATATATATATATATATATATATATGTGTGGTCTTAATTAAGAAGGGAAAAACTGAAAAGGTCTACTTCACAAGATATATCTTGTGAAGTAGACCTTTTTAGTTTTCCCCTTCTTAATTAAGACCCACTAATGCTTACTTTTCTGAATTAAAATTAATTAAAAGGTTTTTAAAATTGGTTAGTTATTATGACCCACGATGGCCTATGAAATTGGAATTATTATGATAATTAGCACACACGTTCTTAACGTGACAGTTTGGTAAATTGGCCTTGATGATGATGACGTATAGAGACACCATGAACAGGTTGAAAGTTACTAAAAACACTAGCTTTCATAAAAGTGGCATTTTTCATGAACATCTATTAGCCTGTGATTTTCAAATCAAGTTGCATTAAAACCCACTAAAACTTGTTTAGAAGAATCTCTGGAACAAATCTACAAGATTAGGATTACTCTATCTTCAAAACATGTTCAGAATCTTGAAAAAGGTTGCAGTAGTTTAACATCTCGACATGAAAGTGTATTATGAAGGTCGTGAGTTCGAATCACCTATCAAGTATGTTGGGACTTAAGGTATTCTTGAGTCCAAGGATTGGGTGACATAGAGACATTTTGACACGATGCTACAACATTCGATAGAGAAGTTCCTCGATAGGAGCAGTTTAGAGGCAGTTTCAAAGAACACGTGGAAGCAAAGCAGATCACAGAAGGTCAGGTAATGGTGTACGTGCTGGATGGTGAAGACTAGACCGTTATCGACAATTATCACTACTAGAAAACAGACATTTGGGAAAATGATTTTACGTTGGATATTCACTCGAAGTGATGTAAAATGTGAAATTATAACACGGTGGCAGTATCGTAAATAATAATAATAAAAATATTAGAGCATTTACATCGGGCCAATTAATCCACCGATGTAAAAAATTGAAAAAAATTATTAAAAGGGTTTTTAAATCGGTTACCGTTCCAACCGATTTAAAAAATAATATTAAAAAAATTAAAAAATAGGATTTTAAATCGGTTTTAGTTCCAACCGATTTAAAAAGTAAATTAAAACATGGTTTTTAAATCGGGTTTGTTTCCACCGATTTAAAAAGTAAATTAAAACATGGATTTTAAATCGGTTTTCAATACAACCGATTTAACCCCTCCCCCCACCCCACCCCACCCAAAAGTAATATTAAAAAAAATTAAAAAAACGGGATTTAAATCGGTTTTGGTTCCAACCGATTTAAAAAGTAAACTAACAATGGATTTTGGATCGGTTTCAAATTCAACAGATTTAAACCCCCCCCCCCCCCCCCAAAAAAAAGTAATATTTAAAAATGGGATTTTAAACGGACTTTAAATCGGTTTCAAATTCCACTGATTTAAAAACCCCCATAAACCCCCAAAATATGGTTTCGTTCAACAAAACCTGCACATTCCAAGCATTTCAAACCCACGACGAAAATCATTTCTCCCTCCCTCCCGCGACGTCTGTTCGCCGTTCCTTCCTCCCCTCCGACCCACGGTCGTTCCTCCCTCCGACCGTGCGACATTCTCCTCCGCCCCACAACCCACGTCCCACGACGAAACCTCCCTCCTCCATCATTCCGTCACCGATTTCATCACCTCCTCTATTTCGTTTGGCTGATGTGCATAAACATTATGCTGAGACTTGGTTCAAGATTAAGGGTAACAAGTAAGTGAGCTTTTTTTATAGTGATTTATGGTTGTTTTTTTTTTGTGACTTTGTCTAAGTACAACCTTGAGTGCATAGTGTATGTTTTGTACACTCTTGTTGTTTCTCTTATTTTTTAGAAATGATTCTACTTGAAAATAAAGTTGTGACTTTTGAAAAGCCTATCATTGTTAAAAACTTTTTGTTGTTATTACAATGGTTGATTATGAAACTTTCTGCTTGAAAAATTATACTTGAAAACTTTATTGTTGAATCTACTTGAAAACTCATTAAAAACTTTCTGTTGTTATTACAATGGTTAATTATGAAAATAAATTATGAAAATCATATCATTGTCCTAATAATTTGGTTGCA